CCAAGAGCCGCGGCCCCTACCGTTTCACCTTCGGTAAATTTAAAGGCAAGACAATACAAGAAGCATACGATGAAGACTATGATTATATCGAAGACTTCATCGTCTTCAAGGGGATGATAGGTCGGAACGATATACTTAAGAAAAATCCTGCCCTGAGAGCTGGTCTGCGCGACCTACCGAAATCCTGGTTGGAACGAAACTCAAGCTTAGAACGACTTCTGGACAACGACCAGCCAGGTGGTCCCAGTATATACGAGTACGAGGACATGGTTCCGAATCAAGGCATGATCAAGATGAACGAACGGAGCAGTAGCTGCAGGTTCTGGGAAGCGACCGATCGGGCCGTTATCACCGCGTCTCATCAAAACGCACCTACTGTCAAACTGGAAGACTTCGCAGAAGCGCTGGACGATTCTCGTTTCGCCAAGGGACTAAGTCCGATACACATAGCGTTCACTGCTACGGTCATACGCGTCGAGCGAAACTTTACAGACTTCGGAGTGGGAGGCTCGGACTTCGATCCTTTTAGGATACTGCCATGTGGTTGGCCCTGGGAATCTCCTCTGAGCACTGAAGTCAACGTTGTAATCACCGGTCAGGACACGGTGTGGGCAGAGAATCTGAAGCCTCTGGTATACGGGCACTATCGCTTCAGTGGAAGCCTTGGTACCGGGTCTTCCCCTCCCACGGGCTGGCCTAAGAGTCTCGACGTTCTCAAGGATCCGGAGACTGTCGAACCGAGCAGCGGGTGCTGCTTTCGAATTGCTGGCAAGGTCAAGGAGGTGGATGGTAGGAGTGTCAAAGTGAGCGTCAAGAGGGAGAAGACTCGTTATGCGAATGGCTGGGAGAAGGATGTCACTGTGGAACTGTCGAAAGACGTTCAGGAGCCTGATGTCGGTGCGTCGTGTGTGTTCAAAGGTCATCTCGAACGATTTACTCCAGTTTTCAAGGATGTAAAGTTCATCGCGGAGACATGTAAGAAGGTTGAAGAGTCAACATCCGCGTCGTAGTCAGATGTTCTTGTTAATGAGGCATTCGTGTCGAATTCATAGTGCTCGGTTAAACTCGGTATGTGCGGTCCATCACCATTTTACAACATGTAGAAGTCCTTGCTCAGTAAAGGGCTTTATTGGCTTGGCCTACACAAGCAGTTTTTGTGTGTCTTGCAATCACCGCCCCGACCTGTGACCACAAGTCAAACACCACAACTTCTCCCCGTCTCAACACCCAATCCTGACACCTTGCAGCCAATACCTCCCTTCTCCGTCACCAGCCCCGCATCATCCCGCATCAACCTTCTTCACAATATGTCACACTTCGACCTCGTTGCTTCGCCCCCTCTGTTGGGATGAGTCTTGTACCCGTCCCTATCCCTCTTGGATCTCTTTTTCGAGCACCCCTGGCACTGCTCCGCATCAAGATAGTTATGCTGCATCGGGTTGCAATAGTCGCAAAACCAGTAATCGAATGGAGGGCTATTGTCATTGAAGCCTGCGCTGGTACCAAAATGCCATTCATTCGGTGCGAGATTGTTGGGGTTTGACATTATCAGCGAAGTCTTCGGGGCGTACGTATGATCGTGGTGAGGTGTAAATATGGAGACTGGTTTGTTGCGTTGGACTTTGGAGTGGTTGTTTGGAAAGATCTTTGTGGGACAGTGGCTGTGAAGTAGACGATAGTAATGAAGCAGAGGATACTTTGAGGGAAGTGTTGTTTTTGTATCTTGATGCTGTACTTTCACTGCTGTGGCCTGTACTGTGTAGGAAAGTTGTAGACTGGAGAAAGAAAGAAACTCCTTTTATACTCGTCCCTGTATGACTATCGTGCCGTTCTTCTGACTGCTGAGTACATATCTGACCGTGTGCGCGAGCAGAGTCATCCATCTTGTCAGAATCGCGGGAAATTGGGAAGACACGATGTAAATCGACTCTTCTTCGAAGTCATGTCTACTAGCCACTCTATCCTGTGACCAGACCCGTCATCGAGGTAACACGAAAGCTCGTATCAGGCGCCCGGACCAAATGAAGAGATCTGGAACAACTAGGTTAGGTAGAACGTCATCAAGCTTGGATGGTGTAAAATCAATCGTTAGAACAAGGTCTGCCATCCTTTCATAATCCCACCTGTCCGTACGCAATCCATTCAATGCTGCAAAACCAACGATTCTGACGCCACAGAAATTACCATGTACCACACACTGAGAACATATCTTCCTTTCCCAGCTCTTAGACAGTACCCGCAATACTCAAGTCCCGAATCTCTTGCAGCACTTCCTCCACTCGCGCATCCAGCTCGCCCTGTGCATACTGATCTCTTGTGTTCGCATCCAGATACTGCTGCACTTGCGCCATTCTTGAGTACGCTTCCGCACAGAACCTCAGCTGAATCTTGACCAGGGCCTCGAAACTAGGGTCTAGGTATGGTACTCGCAGGTCGATGAGCTGGGGCAGCTCAGTTGTGAGGGTGTCGTTGAGTTGATCGTACGCGGCCTTGGCGAGTTGTTCGTCCTTCTCAGCGCGCGGTAGCTTGGTGACGTCCTTGTCAGGCTTGTCGGTGAGCTTCCGGACTTGCGCGCGCATGCGGTCGTAGTCCATTTGCTTGTGTTCGCGCTTTGTGATGCAGGCGTTGATGTCGGGGAAGTAAGAGCAGAATCGCTGGATGGGGTCTAGGACGGTTGTTCGGTAGGGGCCGTCGAGGGCTTTTATCGTCTCGGCGTCTAGGTCGGTAACGGCTTGCTTGTAGGAGCGCGATACGCCGTCTTTGGTGCCCGCGTCGCCGTAGAAGGCGTCGATGGTTTCGGCGATGCGCATTTGTGAGGCGGTCATGGCGCGCAGAGAGTCGAGGTAGCCCTTTGCTTCCTTTTGCAGCTTGTTCGCGGCGGTTTCCATAGTACGGTACCGGCTGGCATCATGTTAGTCGTGGTACTACGGTGGGATGCCTTATTCTTGTATGAGGTATGCATCTGATGGATTGGAGAGCGTACCGCTGCTCAGTCTCGAAGTCGCGGTCATTTGTGCGCTCGACTTGGCCAGTCTTCATAAGAACCTGCGTCGTCGCGCGATTGACGCCTTTCTTGAACCCTGCGTCTGGTGAGCCGGCGGCTTCCTGGATCATCGTCGAGGGGCTCCTTACCGGTCCAAGACATGATTGCGCTGTAGTCCCTCTACTTCCGGGCGACGGTATGTATAGTGAGGTGTGTGAGGCTTGGGATCGTGGGTGGTAGTCGTGGTGTTGTGGGGAGAGTAGCGTGAATGGAGAAGGAGGCCGTGGTTGGGCGCAGTCGAGTGGTTGTTGGCGGGCGGCAGTGCCACAATGACGACGCTACAAGACCCCGGCCGCGCTTTCTGGTGGCTGAGCAACCGCGATTCCGATTTTGATACAACGACCTGACTTCAATGTTTTCACTTCGACCGCTGCAGCGTGCAGCACCCTCGCCTTTTCGTGTATGCTCAGGCTGCCTGCGCAAGTACTCCATCGCCTCGCCAGCGAGACAGAATGCCGGCAAGAACCAGAAGCAGGTGATATTCTCGGGGATCCAGCCCACCGGCGTACCGCATCTTGGAAACTATCTCGGCGCACTGCGGCAATGGGTCAAGCTGCAAGACGAGGCATCTCCGGATACAACGCTTCTTTTCTCAATAGTCGATTTGCACGCGATTACGATAAAACAAGATCCGAGCGAATTGGCAAGATGGCGGAAAGAGATGCTGGCTAGTCTGTTGGCAGTAGGACTTGATCCGAAGAGATGCATCATATTTGCGCAAAGTAGCGTGAAGCAGCATACAGAGTTGATGTGGATCCTGAGTTGTGGTGCAAGCATGGGCTACTTGGGACGAATGACCCAGTGGAAGGTATACAACCGCAGAAGTAGACCTAGGAGGCATAATGTTGACACTGTCTTAGAGCAAGCTCTCCCTCCCATCCAATGCATCCCCTCTCGATCCCTCCAACAACAAAGACGCCCTCAAACTTGGCCTCTTCTCGTACCCGGTCCTACAAGCCGCCGACATCCTCCTCTACAACACGACCCACGTCCCAGTTGGTGAAGACCAAGCGCAGCATCTCGAGTTCACGCGCGAGCTGGCCAGTGGCTTTAACCACGTCTACTCGGAGTCACAGCCCCTGTTGACTGTTCCACAAACACTTCTGAGTCCCGCAAAACGAGTCATGAGTCTGACTGAACCCACAAAAAAGATGAGCAAGAGCGACCCGAAACCGAAGAGTCGCATCTTGATAACAGACTCAAGAGAGGAAATACATGCCAAGTTGAAGACGGCACTGACAGACTCCATAGAAGGAGTGAGTTATGACCGCGAAACCAGACCGGGTGTGTCAAACCTTGTGGACCTGATGTATCATTTTGATGAGTCGCTTGCTGCGTCACCAGAAGATCTGGCGATTGACTTGACAAGTCTCAGCATGCGGGCTCTAAAAGAGAGGGTCGCCGATACCGTGGATTTGGGCATCAACGATATAAGAGAATGTTACCAGGAGTTGATGAGTGGAGATCAGAAGGAGCTTATAGGGTATGCAGATGAAGGCGCGCAAAGAGCAGAGAAAATCGCCGAGAGCACGATGGAGAGAGTCAGGAATGCCATGGGCATTGGATGGTGAACCACCGAGTATTCAGTCCATGAAATACCTGTCAGACTGGAGAGTCTAGCATACAGCTACGGCACCTTCCAAGGGTGACGAGACCCACGCACTGTCTTCTAAAAGACTAAGCTTGTGATCATCATCAATTGTACAATATCCCACGGACCAATACATCTTCGAGTCATAGCTAGTATATATGACCTCGTAGCGACCTCTTCATCACTCCTACATACCACTGAGTTTTCACTGCACTTTACAAGTACCACTATTTCCAAATACCACATCAAACATCAAACACATGATCGTTCCCCGGTGCCCACTTCCACATTCATAAGGAAAAGTCTGCCTGTACCGACAGTCTTCAGCGACTACACCACACTCGCATCCTCGAACACGACGTCGCGATGACGGGCGAAGAGTTCAAGCTTTCCACACCTCCACCCTCCATACCTCCACCCATACTCAAAGAAATAAAACCATGGCGAACGGGTAAACAAGACATCGATATCAGCATCATCGTTAAGAGGGTCGTCAAGCACATCAGCGAAGAAGCTCCGCGCGACGAAGGCCTCAAAAAACTATTCCATGAAGGCGGATGGATTCTGGGGACAGATATTTCCGACGAAGAGTGGACTTGTGATTCGTGTAATGGAAAGTGGACTGGGGATAATGCTCTATGTCCAAAAGAAGGTTGCAAGGGTGTCAGTATGTGGACCCTTTTTGAGTATTTGCAGGATACAGACTTCTGTAATGACGTTGAAGACGATGAATGGGACGTAGTGTGGAAGAAGGTCAGTGAGGAGAGTATACAATATCGGAAGAGATAGGAGGGTGGCAAGTCATTCAGGTTGGGGATTGACATATATCTGTAACTTAGTGGAAGACTGAAAAGCGATATCGTCAAGATGCTGCTGAAAGACTAAGTCGAAACTAAAAGCGCACAACCTTCAGGCAGTTGTGCATCACACGAGTCATCCCAAGAGTATGTATGTGTAATTTATGCATTCCCTAGTCTACGATCATTCACATGCAGCCACTGCGCCGCTAATTGCAAGCCCAAAGTAGCCATGCCACGCATGATGAAAAGATGATTCAAGAACTCCGTTCCTATGCAGTGTAGATGCCATCCTAACCGTGACCGAACCCTAGGCGTGAAAGCCCGTTGCAGGCGTAACGCCATGAATACCATGCCGAAACCGAACGCCGCGCTTATGATGAAGACGTGGAAGAAAACCGAGGAATGGAAAGTTGGGCAAGGGGGTGAGAGGGCGATGCGCAGTTCCTAGTGCGCGAGTGTCCACCATATCGTTGGACGGGGGTGAGGGGGAAATCGAGTAGGGGCCGCCGAATCGCATGATGACGAAGAGAGGAGTGTTGAGGTAGGTGATACTGCCGGTGAAGGGACAAGGATGAGGGTGTCAGAACCCGAATCCTCTTCAGACGCTGGGGACCCACCCTTAAGTAGCCCTGGCATGCGGATGTGAGATATTCGCATGATGAGGGGCTCAGAGTTGCAGTCCATGGGCAACGTCTAGCGCTTCATGGGGGTATCGGCGTCCTCATCATCTTCAGCATCATCATCATCGCCTTCGAAGTCGGAATCCATTTCTTGGTCCTCGTCCGGGTCGCTCTCGCTGCCACCAAAGTCCAGGCTCTCAGCATCGCTGTCTTCCCAGCTCATGTCAAACTCGCCCTCGTCCTTCTCTTTCTTCCACGCTGTTTCGTGTGTTGGCATGACAAAGTCCGTGGGGATGTCCGCCTTTGACAGCTCGAGATCCTTCTTGACCATCTCTTTGTACTGCTCCGGCTTGTTGCGCAGCATGACTCCCGCGTCGACGTTAGCGGGTGAGGAAACCTCGGCATCGTCAAGCAGAGAGAGGATGGATATCAGGACCGTCTCGACACGCTGCACGGGTGACCAGCGCTCGGCGGCAGTCTCGCCGGACATCTCGTCATCGCCGGGTGGGTGGAGGATGGAGATACATAGGCGGCCGTCGGGGTAGATGTTGGGGTGGTAGAGCGGGCGGATAAACTTGAAATCTGGTAAACCGTTAGCTCCTGCCCTGCGCTTCGCGACTCCTTCCATCCCTGGATCCGCGTATTGGCAGTGACGTACCTGGCGGGCTATGCGGGTAGTTGCGAGGGAAGGTCATCTTGGCCTTGAAGTAGCCGCCGTAGTACATGGACTCTTCGTTCATGACTATCAGGGCGACACTCCACTCGAAGACGTTCTCGTTGATGAGCTGTGACGTGGTTAGCTCGGTGCTCCTGCATCGCCACTAGGACTGTGACTCTGAGGGAATGTCACCAAGACGCACCTCGATGTTTGTCCACTTCTCCTTGCTGAGCTGCTTGAACTCATTCATGAGTATCCGCTGCGCCATTTCCGCCATGTTGCCTTCTCGGTCCGGGGTCCTTGCTGAGGCGTGTAGTGTTCGTGGGGGTGCAGGAACAGTACTGTATTCGCCGAGGCGGTCGGTTGGGTGTTGTCTACGTGTAAAAGTGAGAGTGTGGGTAGAGAGAACGTCCTGGTGGTTTATGCAAGGAGTGAGAGAGCGGCGGAAGGGCGAGAGTTTGTACTTAAGGGAGTCGGTCGGCTGAGGCGCTGCATGATCGAATGCTCTCGCCGAAACAAGGATCACTTAGTCCGCCCCTCGGCAGGAGCCTAAGTCACCGCTTCCGAACTCGCGGACAACGAGTGGAACCTTCCTTACTTGGTCCTCATGACTGCAGGCGCTCACCGTCACCACGTTTCTTTCATCGTCGGCACAGTTGCTGTTCGGCGCCTTGGATGCCGCGCATTCTGGCTTTGGCAGTGTTCCTTCCGACCTCGGAACGAATAGGAACGGTACGGAATGTCACCTTGGATGCGTCCCAAGGTTGTCTGCTCGCGTGATAGCACAGAGTTGCGGCTTATCTACCCTTCCATCTATCATCGCGTCTCTGGATGTCATGTGAGCGTATGAGCAAGGTAGTATAAACACGCGCTACCAATGCATGCCGTTTCATGTGATGTCATCATGGGCACTATCGACACCTGAAACAATGCTGTAAAGCATTCTTTTGCTTTGTCTATTCGCGTACGCTAATCTCTAGCTTTATGGCTTATTGTATAGGGTACGCGCGCCTTCTTTTTTGGCTTGTCTTGTTTGCTTCTTACTACCTTCTACCGAAAGCCACACGTAGTTGTCGATCTGTGAGATCATCACACAAGTATCCCATTCTTATACCCAGACGATGTGCTGGCAGCAAAGTGCTTTGCGATGAGAACAATACTTTTCTAATCTAGAGTATATCTAATGCCGACATGATCGTGTATGACATGACCCCGAATTATGACAACCTCCGGTACACCAGCGCTGGCGTTAATACGTATACTGAATGAAAAACCACGATACTAAACATAGGAGAAACAGGGACAGACAGTGTCCAACTGACAAAACAGGGAATTACCAACCAACGAATTCAATCAAATGTAACGCATCCTCTTAGCAACCCCCAAGCAGACAGCGACGAAAAGGACAATAACACCAATAATGCCGAAGAACCATCCGAGGCTGCCATCCTGACCAGGAACCTTGACGTTCATACCAAACAAACCACAAATCAAGTTGAGCGGAACGAGAATCGTAGCGATGACCGTAACCTTCTGAAGCGTAGCGTTGCTGTCGTTGCCTTGAATGACTTGATCAACCGAGATTTGCGCAAGGTAGTTGGAGTGTGCGCGGCTGAGCATCTTCTCGAAATGAGCCAAGTTGGACATCATAGTGACGACGTGATCCTGGATATCGCTGAGGTACATGCCCACGTCACCCCGAGGAGCAACGCTGTACGACTCGTTGCAGCGCTTGGCGAAGCCCTTGATGACATCTGCCTTGCCGCCCAAGAGACGCAGAAGCTGCATGACGCGCTTACGGCAGTCGCCGATCGATCGAAGAATGGCGCGAGAATCTTCAATGCGCGCAGTGAAGACCTGATCCTCAATCGCATCTGCCTCATCTTCGATGCCCCGAATGACAGGTGCAAAGCTGTCGACAATGTCGTCGATGAGGGCGTAGCAGATCCAGTCAGCGTTGAGGTTGATGTAGTCGCGAAGACGGCTGATACGCTTGCGCACAGAAAACGTGTGTGGGCTCTCGCAGAAAGTGAAAGTTAGGATGCCCTCCTTGAACACGACAGCATAGAAGTTGACAGGCTCCAAGTATTCCTCCGATTCCTTGTCGGCTTGGAAGAAGGAACGGAAAGAGACGAAGTAGTATTGATGGAACAGCTCCACCTTTTCGCGCGGCTCCTGGACGCAGATATCCTCACGGGTAAGAGGGTGCACGCCGAAAGCCTTGGAGATGGCGAAGACTTCCTCTTCTGTAGGGTTGACCATGTCGAGCCACCAGACGCCGCCGTCTGATGGGGTGTCAAACAGATCGCGGAAGCGTTCGCCGGGCATAAGCAGGCCGCCCAGTTCGGCAGCATGGATCGTGTCGTCCAACTCAGACGAGAAGAACGTCCAGCGGTTGAGCTTCACTTCTGGCGCCGGCTTCTCCGCGAATACGTGTGACAGACCTTCCTCGGCGAGCTTCTCTTGGATCGCAGGGTCCGCATTCTTAAGGCTCAAAGCATCGCTGTCTGTCTTGGGTGTTCCTGACTGGCTGGACTTGGGGCGGAGATCGGAGAAGACCTTGGGCTTTGTGGAAAGGTTGGAAGCGGTGCTCGCCTTGTGACGCAGAGGCTGGCCGATGGGCGTCTTCTCTTGAGCCTCTGCGACAAACTCCTCCAACTCTTCGTAGTCGAACCTGGTAGTCTTGCCAGTATCCTCGGCCACAGGGAAGCACACATCCTCCTCGGCTGAGCTGTGTGCAGATGCAACTTCAACGTTGTGCAGCTCATCAGGACGCTCATCGCTGATTGTCGGACGGCGTGCAGTGCCGCGAGAAAGCGTCCTGTTCAACCCCAGCTCGAGCTCGGAACCAGCATGGCTCTGGAGGGTGTTGGCACGGTCGCGGCGCCTAGGGCCGGCGAATGCGTCGACAGAGTTGGGAGGAGAGACGGAGCGCGAAGTGGTCGACGAAGCCCTGCTCCTAGTCAGGCGCTCGACTGCCGGGTCGCGCGGGCGCCTGAATGTCTCTCGACGGGCCTGTGGGCTGTGCGCCAGAGAACCGCGGCGGATGTAGGCATCGGGAGCCAAGTGTTGGTCATCGTCTACGACGGCGCTTTCGAAATCGCGCCGAGTGATGTCTGCCTCGAGGGCCTCGTTGACTTGGAGGAGTATATTGGGTCGGTCTTGGCCCTGGACGCTTGCGAAAGTTGGTCGGCGCGACCTAGGGGGTGAGGTGGCATCGGCTCGTGGGAGCGATACGGGCTGGTGGCGGTGGTCGTCGAGGTCAGACACCGGGGTGCTGAACCTCGTCTGGTTCTCGGATCTCGGAGTGTCAGTCATATTGGCGACTCAGGCGGCGATGAGTAGGACTCCGAATCAGATGTCGTATGCTTTGGTTAAGCCAGGTTGTTGGTGGATTCAGCGACTTCTTGCAGCGCAAGAACCACAGAAGCGGGCGAGTCGCTTGTGAGCGCTCACCTCTAGGGCGCGCTCAACTTGACGATGGCTTCGCGTAGGGTGGTCCCCTACACTAAGCCGATGGGAGACAGAGTCCAGTAGCCAGACTTCCACACCCTGTGGGAATAGGAAGAAATGTAGAGACGGTGATGCAGTAGCGAATGAATGTGTTTGCTGTTAGGGCAAGTTATGGTGGCTTGTGGTCGCCGCCGTATACCCAGGCCTTTGTGCCGAGCAAGGGGCGGATGAAGGAAAGCTTGTCGAGGTAGAGTCCCG